ACTATTATGTAAACCAAAGAAATAAATCGGGCGAGAAAATGACGGAGTAGCGATAGCGGTTAAAAGAAACTTAAAATTTAAACTAATCGATGACTTTCAGGATGAATTTTAAGCAATAAAAATAAATACAACTCAAGGAGACGTAATTATTGCTACTACTTATCTGCCACCGAGACGACCCTACTTGCCTATAGAAGACCTATTAAAATTGGCTAACAATAGTCATCCGATGTACATCTTAGGAGACTTTAACGCCAGACATAGGATTTTCGACAATACGAATAATAACGCCGTGGGAAACGCCCTTAATCAATTAATAAATCTAGGAAAAATCAATCATCTAGGTCCTAACTTTCCAACCTGGAGAAATCACAATACACAATCGACACCAGACAAAATATTTACCAACAACAAAGCCTTTTTCAATTGCCATATAAAACAAGGACCTCTCACAGGCAGTGACTGAAGGTTCCAATTGTTCCCTGAAGAATTCAGTGATGGGTAGGGAAACACCGGGTAACACTGAAGTCCATTTATTAATGGATAGGAGAAATACAAGTAGTGACTAGCGTGTGCCATGCACGACCCACGGAGTCAGACTGAGGCTGCCTTGCCATATGGCAGCCTCGGGGCAATGTTGCCACATAACACGTGCAGTGATGCCACGTAATTACATATTTAAATGCTACTCGGCACAGTAGCTTATATACAAGGTTGCTACTCGGCACAGTAGCTTAGATACATAACCTACAGTGACCATCTGCCAATTATACTAACACTGTCAACAAGCCCCATACATATACCAATAAAAAAGAGACTGAAAATGAGTAAAACAGACTGGGACAGCTTCAAAGACGACTTAGGTAATCACCACTCGATTAACCTACAAGGGAAAACAACAGAAGATATAGACTCAGAAATGGACAGACTGCACTCAGCAATAAAAACATCTATAACCAAACACACTCCTACTTCACACTTTAGAACATTACTCAACAACAGACTAACAGAAGAATTTAAATTAATCCAAACCCATTACAATGAAATATACAGGTATGTGGAAAGACACGGCAGTAACAGATGGCTATATACGACCCGGAGAGCACTACAGATAAAATTAAGAGACGCATGTAAGGAAGCAAACAATAAAAAATGGAATGATATTATAATGGCGGCCGACAAGACCAAAGACACAAAAGCATTTTGGACTTCTATAAACAAGATGATGGGGCACAACAAGCAAAAAACACCATATATTAAAGAACAAAATGGAACAAAACTGTACGAGGAAAATGAACAAGAGTCAGCATTCAAAAGGGAATGGGTAAAAGTTTTTAAAATATCAGATAAGGAAAATGAAGATTTTGATAGTGAACACGAAGAAAGGATAGAAGACGAAATGGGAAGACACATACATAGAATCACTCCAAAGCAATATATAGACTATAACTTACTACCTAATAATCAAATAATAACCATGGGAGAAATGATGCACTGTCTGAGGAAGTTTAAGGAAAAAAAGGCCCCCGGGCTCACAGGTATTACACGAAATATGATCATGAATCTACCTGAAAACATCTTAAAAACACTATTAAACATTTATAACGCATATTTAATAACCGGTTACTTTGCAGACAAACTAAAATATGCTAAAATGATATTTATTCCCAAGGAGGGTAAGGACAATAAGGAAATATTAAACTACAGGCCAATATCTTTATTAAAAATTACCGGGAAACTACTGGAAAAAAATTTAAATTCAAGACTTATAACCTTTTTAACACAACATGGGAAAACTAACAATAGACAACATGGATTTATGCCCAATAGAAATACCCTAACTGCAATAGCTACAATAACGGAAATTGCAATAGAAAAAAGCAAGGGAACCAGATCAATATAATTTTAAGGGACGTTTCTAAGGCTTTTGATAAAGTTTGGCATTTAGGCTTAAATATAGAATATTAAAATTGGGACTTAACGAACACTTGCTAAGAATATTGTGTAACTATTTAGATGATAGGAGGGCACAAATTCAAATTTGAAACTTTATGGGAACTATGTTTAATCTTGAGAGTGGAGTACCTCAAGGAGGATGCCTTTCTCCAACACTATATACAATTTATACTTCAGACACACCTCAACCTACCCCCTTTAGCGAATATGTAATGTTTGCTGATGATATTACTCAAATAGTATCATACCCAGGAAAATCAACCCAATTTATGGTACTCTACACGGTAAGAGCGATAAAAAATATAAATGATTTTGAGAAAAAATGGAAAATCAGGACAAATACGAACAAATTCAAGATAATACCAATAGCCAAGATCAAGACAAGTCCAGTAATAGTCGACCAGGAACTATACCCATACGACACTGAAGGCAGGATGCTTGGACTAAAACTAGCAAAAAGAGGATATATAACATACATAAAAGATAAAGAACGACAGGCAAGATTATCAAAATAAAACGCTTTAAGAACCT